AGTTGGTTGTACATATATTCATATGTTAATGATTATTATAGTCTTTTCACATTAAGTGCCATAATGTACATATATATAGTCACAGCATGCTAAATTCTGAATTGGCAAATTAAATTAAAAGTGATTTAATTACAAAGAATCCAGACAGGGTGGGAGAACAGAACTTGCTAGAGGACAGATTTCATTTTTTAACATTTTGAGCATAATGCATTTTATCTCCTCAAATAATCTTGTACCTGGGTAACAAGGGGTTAATTAAAGCTGCTTAGGGAAAATGTCATTTGGTCTTGGAAGAGGGAGAACAGTTATGGACTTCCAGCTGAGTACCTAGTAATGTCCAGAAAGGATACCTCAGCTTCTTCTGAAAGGTCTTTCTCATTACTATACCACAACTCAAATTAAATTATCTTTTGCCTCATTTCTTACCTAGCCTCACTCAATGAATGGATGTTGCCTCAGATAAACAGAGACCTGGGAAAGACCTTAGCTTAAAAATGCCAAGGTCTCCCACTGCATTCTGGGCCATTGCGCGGTGTCCTAACCTTTGTCTTGCCACTCAACTTAGATGACTCTGGAGAAGAGGGAGACTGATGACTTTGCACGGCTTGGCCTCACTTAAATCTAATTCACTCCTAAGTCAAGACAGCCTCCTGATGTTATTGTTCCTATTCAAGAAGGAAGGACAAAGGGGGAGCTAGGTGGAAAAAGCACTGGCCCTGTAGTCAGGAGGACCTGAATTCAAATCCAGCCTCAGACTAAACATTTGACACTTACTAGCTGTGTGACCCTGGTCAAGTCACTTAACCCTAGTCACCTTAAAAAAAAAAAGAACAAAAAACAACAACAAACACTACAAAGAGTGACTAAGAAGGCTGGGCTGATGGCTCCAGGAGAGTGCCTCCTAGTGAACAATGCAGATATTACATTACCTTGCTGGATAATTAACACTTGGTGAATGCTATTTTTTCTTCTTCACAACATGGTGAGAATCAAATGAGAAAACTTGTAAAGTGCTTTCCCATCCTGAAAGCACTATATAAAGGCTAGCTATTATTATTTCTTTACATGACAATCTCTTCTAACTTTGCACACTCAAGATAAAGCAGTGGGAAAATGTCTTAATAAATATTTGTTAGGCACCTACTATGTTCCTGGCACAGCGCAAATCATTAAAGATAAATGGACATATCAAAGTAGAATGCTCAAACTTGGAATATAGTGAGTTCTCTTCCATTGGGAGTGGCAAGGACTCAGGGATAGGATTCTCAGTCAATCAGAAGGTACTAAGTGCTTATTATGTGCTGGCATTATTGTAAGTACTAGGGATACAAAAAAAGAAAAAAAGGAAACCAATGATCTCCTAGATTCCAGTAGCCCACCTTCCAATAGGAGAGACAACATATAAATAGCTATACACATATGAGATAAAAATTAAGCCAAAATCCTTAGTGCAGTTTTAAGGTTTAATTGTTCAACACTACACTAAAACTTTTGGGACACCCTGCATATGGTACAAAGAGAAGGTAATCTCAGACAGAAGACATTAGCAGGGTGGGGCATAGAAGGCACCAAAGGCTCCTATGGAAGGTGAGATTTGAGATTAGTCTTGAAAACAGTCTAAAGTTAGGAAGGAGAGATTATGAATTATGCCAGATTATAAAAGGCTTAAAATGCCAAACAGAAGATTGTGTATTTGATTCTGGAGGTAATAAGGTGCCATTGGAATTTATTAAGTAGGGACATGCCATGGTCAAATTTGCAGTTTAAGAAATCATTTTGGTAACTTAGTGGAGGACAGATAAGGGTGAAGTGAGATTTGATATGGGGAAACCACTCAAACAATAATAGTAATCCAAGAGTGAAGTGATGAGAACTCCACCAAAGTGGTAGCTGTGTGAATGTTGAGAAGGTGACATGTATGAGAGGTTGTGAGGGTAGAAAGAATAATGCTTGACAAGCTTGGATATGTGCATTGAGTGAAATACCAGCAAGACTCTCAGATTGGGAGCCATAGTGATTGGAAGAATGGTGATGCCTTCCATGGTGACAGAAATATTTGTAAGTAGGGAGACATTTGGTAGAAAGATAGTAGGCACTCTCTCTCTCTCTCTCTCTCTCTCTCTCTCTCTCTCTCTCTCTCTCTCTCTCTCTCTCTCTCTCTCTCAATATGGTGACCTTAAGATGCTTATAGGATACAAGATTTCAGATGTACAAAAGGCTATTAGATGTAGAACTACAAACTAGAATGGAGATTAGGGCTAGATATAGAGATCTAGGAATAGAGACTCTAGAATAGGGATAGAAAGTGCCTAGAGATGATAATTGAACCCAGGGGAGCTGAAAAAAAATTATCATGTGAGATAAATCAAAAGTCCCCCTAGAGGGCTGAGTTCTTTGAACTATTGAAATAAACATATTTTGTTAAATATTTTCATTCAGTTGGTTTCTATCTAGAGGCAGTTAGGTGGTGCAGTGGATATGGCACTGTACTTTGAGTGAAAATTTGGGTTCAGTATCCAGCATCAGATACTTACTAGCTCCATGAACCATGGCAACTCACTTAACCACTGTCTGAATAAGTTTACTGAATTGTAAAATGGGTCTAATAATAGCACCTATCTCCCAATGGTTTTGTTGAGAGGATCAAATGAGTTATTATTTGTAAGGGGCTTAGCACAGTATCTGGCATATAGTACACTTTTAAAACAGTCTCCCTTCCTTCCTTCCTTCCTTCCTTCTTTCCTTCTTTTTTTCCTACCTTCCTTCATTCCTTTCTTTCCCTCCCCTTCCTTCCTACCTTCTTTTCTCTCTTTCTTTCTTCCCTCCGTCCTTCTCTTTCTTTCTTTCTTTCCTTTTTTCTTCCTTCTTTTTTTACTTTCTTCCTCCCCTCCTTTTTTCCTCCCTCCTTCTCTGTCTTCCACTCTCTCTTTCTCCCTTCCTTCCTTTCTTTTTCTCTTTCTTTTTTCTTTCCTTCATTCTTCCTTTCTCTCTCTTTCCTTCCTTTCTTAATCCTATGAATTTTATTTTATATCGGTATAAATGAAATTCTGGCAAGAGATCTCTACGCTTTGCCAGTCTGTCAAAGGGGTCCATGACACACCAAAACTCCTGGTTTGGAGGCTTCAAGGACAAGGCCATTAGGGACACAGCCACAGACAGTAGGCATAATAAGGGCACTGAACCAATAAAGAGAAGTTGGACAGGAAGGAGGAAAACCAGGGAAAGGGAATGTCAGGAAAACCAGAGAGGAGATTCTATTGAGAAGATGGCAACTGATAAAACCAAAGGCTACAGAAACATCAAGAGGGACAAGGAATGAGAAATGGTCATTATATTTGACAAGGAAAAGATTATTGGTGACTTATAAAAAAGCAGTTTTAGTTTAATAATATCAGAATATAGATCACAGAGGATTTAGAAGAGAGTTAAATTTTCTCCAGAGGAGAGAAGAGATTTAGCATAACAGGTTCAAGTCAGAGTCTTTTAAGGATGGAGAAGATATGGGCATGTTGAAAGGCAGCAGGGAATGAGGCAGTAGATAAAGAAATAGTGGAGATAATTAGAGCAACAGAGAGTAGGTATGATAGAAGAGCAACCTTCTGGAGAAGATGTGATGGGATGGGATCAAGGATGCATGAATAAGGTTTCTGTTATTTTCACATAAGAGCCCCCCACAAATGTTCTTCATATTGACTACCAGCCACGCTTAATTTGCTTTTAGAAAAGGTACTTACTAAATAGGAATAACCAGCCCAGTTATTATAGAAACAATCCCCCCAAACTGGGGGCATAGTCTTTCTTTGCACACACAAAGTCTCTAGAGACACAGAGATCAAACTTAGAGAACACATGTAACTCATAGCTCCTATTTACTAAAAATCTCTTTCTCCCTTGGTGGAGTTTTCATGAAGTTCCTCTTAGAGAATTTTCTTATGGCCTGTGAGGATTGGCACCCTTGTAGCATTCTGAAGTTGCCTTTCCTAAGTGTCTCTATTTTGTCCCCAGGAAGTTTCTCAGCTCTTGATTATATGCTGCTGTCAGCCATCCTAAAATCACTATTACTAGATTTTGTGTACACTGCTAGTGGTGTTAAAGGAAACTCTAGGTTTTCCAGTGTCCCAAAGTTTACAAGGAAAATGGTAGGGGATCAGAGATGGAAGAGAGGTTTAAAAAAGGCACTATTGCCTTCTTTCCCAATTCTCTAGGACAATTTCCTTTTAGAAATCTTTCATCATTGGATTTAACATTGACTGGACCTTCTTGATCCTGGAGTGTGCAAATTACAAAGTGGCTTACTGTGTTATATATAGACCAGAGGTGTATCTGTTATTTTAGTCAACTGTAAGAAAATTCCTATATAGCATGTCTTTTACCACTGAACAAAGTACTTTAGATCTTCCAAATTGATTAAAGATTTAGTGGAACCTAGTTTTTAGCTTAGCCTAATTGATTGAATCCAGTCATCCAGGCCTTCTTTGATTACATTCATGAGGGTTGGAGTGCAATCTCTCACCATTACACACATACAGGCACAGATGTGTGTGTGTGTGTATACACATATACATACACATACATCTACACACATGTATATATATAGAGAGAGCGTGTATATATGTATATATGTATGTGTGTATACTTTATATATTATATAAAATTATTTATCTATTTTATATAGTTATTATTTCCCTCATGGAAATGTAAACTCCTTGATATCAGAGACTGCTTTATCTTTTTCTTTTTTATCACCTGTAGCATAGTGCCTGACACAAAGTAAATACTTAATAAATGTTTGTTTATTGATTGACCTTTTAAAGGAGAAGCATAAAAGGAGTCTTGCATATGTGTTTTTATGCCTGGGACCATGTCTTTATGACTGTGTCATAAAGAATCTGAGAAACCTGTTTATGGGAGAGTCATAATGATATGGAATGGTAGTGCCTTGCAGAGACTGTTGAGCATATGTGACATTCTATAACTAGTTCTGGTCTGTTAACCAAGTAGTTAGGAAGGGTCAGTAGCCAGAACTGGATGATTTTCAAAAGGGTCAGATTAAGCGCTCTCTCTTTGCTTCATTCTCTTAAGCTACAACATTGGAGGGCCTTGGTGACTTCTCCAATGAGAGATGATGCTGTAAGTAGAGAAGCCTTGGGTTCTTCTCTGATCTGAGGCCAAGAAAGGGCCATTGTCATTGGCATCTGCATTTGTTATTTTCCATTTTAAAGTGAAGAATTGGATCCCTTAATCTTGTGTGTTTACTTAGGCTTTTTCAAATGATATTCTCTAGCATGTCACATCTTTGCAGGTAACACTGAATGATTATGAGAATCTAAGTACCCACTGTATTTATTGTTGTCTTTCTCCTCTCAGTCCAATCTTCAGTTGAGAGTTGGTTCTGTCCCTGCTTGTGGCCCTCATAGGATCCAGTAAAACATTGGAGACCAAGTTGGTTCCAGGACTCCTGCATAAATCTCTTGACATTGACACCTAAGCATTGAGATGACTTTGTCTTTCTTTGTGGTTCCCAATGCCCTGAGAAGTGTGTGACCAGACTGTTTTGTCTATCTGTGCAATAACCCATGAGTGAAATTCTATCCCTGCGTTCTGTTCTATCAGGCCACAGCTAGAACCTCACTTCAGGTGTCTGATTGTTTTGGCTGGCATTGGCTTGTGATGGCCCCGTTCAAAGTACTGACTGGTTCTTGGTCCATTTATGAGAGTTCATGCTGGCTCTCCATCCTGTCCTATTCTGGTCTAGTTACCAGACCTATCATCTTCACTGCTTCCATAGTTATCTAAGCTGATTCTGGCTTCCCTCATTTCTACTCCCTCATGCCCCTTTCACTCCCAAAAATCAGTCTTCTTGCTTTCTTATTATGCAGTTCTAGACTGGAGGGAGGGAGTTTACTTTGCTTTCTTTTTTCACTTTTTATGATAGGTCTTTTGGGGTCCCTTTTCTGAAACGTGTCAGGGTTTCTGTTGGAGACCTGGCCTTCTCTGTGATTCTTCATCTCTCCATCTTAACTGACAGTCTCCTGTTGAACTTTGAAAAACTGCTTTATTTGTTTGGCTTTTATCCTCTTCACAACCTGGACCTGATATAGCTTTTGACCCTTATTCTACATTATGCCCCTTGCCACACTCTACGATCTCAGCAAACTATCTTCCTTGCCCTTTCTCATGCATAACTGTCCATTTCCCTTCTCTGTACTCTTATACCGGCTACATCCCTGGGTATGCTGAAGCATCTTCCTTTCTTACTTCCACCTCATAGAATCCCATACTTTCTTTCATACTAAGAATAAACCTTATTTGTAGTTGTAGTCTTTTCTTATTTTCACCTTTCCTCTCCTTCCCCAGACTCACTTGCATATACTATAAATCAAAATTATAACCATGTATAAAATATAAGATGTAGAATATAATACATAATAATGTAATCTAACATAATCTATATAATTTTATATAATTTCCCTCAGGTCCCTGTTCATGTAATGATTCCAATGTGTATCATTAGCAATACTCATTAATATTTTCTGTGACTTCATGATTGTACTCATGAAACCCAGGATCTTTGAATGAAAATCATACTAAACTTATCTCTGGAGAGCACTTTACTTGAAGAAATGTTGTCAAGACAATACATGGTTGTTGTAAGAGATGAGATCCTTAGAGTGAATACTAGGCTAGTATAATGAAAGTGCAGGAGAGACTGGGACCGTGGACCTGACCTCATCTTCATCATCACCATGGTGGTTGTGCAGTGGTAGACAAAGTCCATGAGTCTCTATTTTGGTCTCATATTGTGACTTGGCCTCTCTAGAGCTTGTACAGGGCATGTTACCATGGAATTAATGATAGGTATGAGATCAAATTCTCTTTCTACAAGTTTTAATGATAATAATAATAATCATCATTTGAATAGCATGTTAACATTTGTAAATCACTTTATATGTGAATGTATGTATGTGTGTAAATCTCACTTAATCTTCAAAACAGTTCTATTAAGTGATGTTATTTTTGCCATTTGACAGGTGAAGAATTTGAAGCACAAAAAGGTTAAGTGCCATTAAATGTTTGAGGCAGGGTTCAATCCCAGGTTTTCCTAATTCTAAATCCACTTCTCTGTCCATTATGTAACCTATTCATTTCTCTGAATGAACTTTACTGATTATATTATTTGCCAGTAAATAGCTAGAAATGATTTTATTTTTTAATTGAATGAAAAACAGCAGATTGTACTTACGTTTTATATTATAATGTAATAGTGTTTCTTGTGTATTCTGTGTGCATAGACCCTAGCACATCTTAGATGTTCAATTTGGGTTTATTGACCTATATTTCATATATCTTAATTAATGACTTAAGAACTAAATATATCCACCAGTTGCACTATTTGACGTCACAAGAGAATATTTTCTTTGATGCAGAATAAGGAACCTCAGTCATTCCCATAATCAGTAGTGTGACACTCCAACAATGGCAGTCATTGATGTTCCTGCTTAGGAGCTTGTAGCCTGAGGTCCTGGTAGCATCTGGCTGTATGGTTTGGCTCGGCTAGGAATGTTTCTTAACAAACCTGTTGTAGCTCTGAGCTGAGGATTCACATGAGTCTCTAGCACTGATGATATGTGGGGCAATAAAGAGATTCTCCAACGTATTTGGGGAAAGAGTGCAACTCATGCACACCAAGGAATTCACACTTTACGTGCATTTTGTATTTACTTATTAGTGTCCCAGTTATTTCCCCAACAGAATTTAAGCCCTTTGAAGGCAAAGACTATTTCATTTCTGTCTTTATATCCCCAGAGTCTGTGACTTAAGGCATGACTTAGTATATGATTGTTGGAGTGGTTTGCCATTTCTTTCTCCAGCTTATTTTAAAGATGAGGAAACTGAGGCAAACAGGGTTAAGTGACTTTCCCAGAGTCACACAGCTAGTAAGTGTCTGAGGCCAAATCTGAACTGAGGAAGATGAGTCTTCCTGATTCCAAGCCTGGTGTGCCAATCACTGCATTATATGGCCGTCCCCATTTAGAATTGTATTGCTACATTATTTTTATAAGCATTTTATCTCAGGGTAGATAAGAGGAAATAGATCAGATCTTGAAATGGAAACTTAGCTGTATTTACTGGACACCATAAGCTGTATTTACTGACACCTCCAGAGAGGCATCAGGAATGTCCAGCATATCTAAGCAAGATTTAGTTTTAAGGTATCTTAGAGTTCATCTTGTTCAATTTTCTTATTTAATAAGAAAAAAAAAACCTAAGACCCATGTAGGTTAAATCTGAAGTCATATGGGTAGTAACTTTGGAATTCTGGACATCTGGACTGATATATGACTTTTAGGGGAGAGGAGAACGGAGTGAATTTTGTGACCATCAGTATTATGGGAGGAGAGACATTCGAGAATATGAAATCCTCTATTACCAGGGCATATTAGAATTTGAGTACCTGGCTACCAGCAAGAGCTATATGACCCTAATAAAGTACTTTTAATAATTCTGGTTCCCTATTTTAAATTGTGGCCCAAGAAAGCCAAGATGGTGGAAGGACTGGAAAACAACACAATGATTTAGTGGCCCAGGAAATAATTACTTTGGATTTTTTTTTTATCATTAAGAAGTATAAACTCAATCATTTACTTCCAATAAAGATGCAGGGGACTTCTCAGCATCAGTCTTATCAGGCTTATCAGCATCAGCCCAACAGAGTATAAGGTAATCAAGTTAGACTTAAAAGCTTTAGAAACATCAATTTAAGAGTGAAGTCTTTGTAATCTGAGCCAACTTTCTAGACAGTGGAGCTATTAGACAGCTAAGTGGCAATGTGTTTAGAATTCTGGATGTGTAACTGAGAAGACTTGAGTTCAAATACTCCCTTAGACATCTGTCAGCTGTGTGACTCTGGACAAGTCACTTAACCTCTCTAATCTTCAGTTTCCTCATCTGTAAAATGAGGGTCTTGGATTTGGGGCCCTCTAAGGTTCCTTCTGGCACTAAATCTATGATCCTCCATATTCCATTGTAATGTCTTTGTTTTACTTCATTTCCCCTAGACTTGCCTTAGAGAGAGAACAATCTGTATAAGTATGTTGGGCTTTCTCTATAACAAAAATGTGGATAGTCTCAGGTTTTTCAATAGAAGCTGAGACTATAGGGAATGACACCCCTCATTGATGGGCCCTTAGCCCACACTAATAACAATGAACTAAATTATCTCTTTTAAGGCAAATGCCAGTTAGAGATGTGTTGTGAGAAATGAAAGGTATAAAATCTTTATATACCCACTGTATATTACAACCAGTCCACATCCCTTTTAGATAACCAAGAAAGTACAATGAAGACTGAAGGCGTCCTCTGACCATCTACTAAATTAAGCCCAAATTTTGAACACCAAAGGGTAAGAAACCTTCCAATTTCCCCTGAACCATAGACAAGCCCCTCTATAAAGAATCTGGTCTCTAGTGGAAGTCCAGGCCTACACACTGTAGGATCTGGCTGGCACTGGGAGATACAAGATGATTATGAGGCAAAATATTAAGTTGTAAGGAAGACACAGTTTGTCTAACATTTTAATATTCAGTTCACAAATCAAAACACAAAAAGAATCATATTTTCTAACAGGTCTTCTGTTCATTGAAATACACAAAATAATTATTAAAACATTTCAATATTGTTTCATATATAGCTTTAATTTAATATGTAAAGATTTAAAATAAAAACATCCATAATCTCTTATAAAATCCTGCACTTCTTAAAGAGAAAGGAAACTACACTCCATGGAATTGAAGAAGATAGCAAGTGGTAACAAGAAAGTATAACGTACATAATGGCAACAAATTTGATAGCATGTTGTGGATAATAGCATTATATATGCGTATATGTATGCATGCATACACATATATATCAATAATATTAATATGTGTATGCATGTACACATGCATATATATGTATACATGCGTCTGCATATATATGTATGCATATAATTGAAATTCAAAATTGAGGCAGCTAGATGGCACAGAGTATGGAATGCTGGGCCTGGATTCAGGAAGATTCATCTTCATGAGTTCAAATCTGACCTCAGACACTTAACTAGCTGGGTGACCCTGGGCAAGTCGCTTAACCCTGTTTGGTTTAGTTTCTGATCTGTAAAATGAGCCGCAGAAGGAAATGGCAAACCACTCTAGCATCATTGCCAAGGAAATCCCAAATGGATCAAGATGAGTTGGAAACAATTGAACAACAACCTATACTCAATGCTGTCCCATATTATTTTTATGACTTTTTTAGGTGATTAAAGTTATATCTTATATTAATAGAATGAACAAATAGTTGTAAAAGTAAATTAGATTCTGCTGTAACTGCTGGTTTGGTAATATTGTAGTATAAAGTGTAATGTTGCTAATGAGGCAGCTCCTTGTTGTAAAGGATGCAATTATGGGCCTTAAGTAAGGGGGACCTGAATTCAAAACCAGCCTCAGACACGTGTAATCCTTGGCAAGTCACTTCACCTCTGTTTGCCTCAGTTTCCTCAACTGTAAAATGGGGATAATAATAGCATCTACTCCCCAGGTTAATATGAAAAACCAATGAAAAAACATTTGTAAAGCACTTATCACAGTGCCTGGTAAGTATACTATATAAATACTTCTAGTAATTATTATTATTAATGAAATAATGCTATAAGAAACAATGATAAAATCCAATTACACTCCAAAATAATACCTATGAAGGATTAAGTTCTCTCATTGTCTATGATGTAAAGAAAGCCACGGGCTTTGGGGACAGAAAACCATTGCTATTGTATGAACTTTTCACAGGTAAGCTCAGCTTCATTATTATCTTCTGGGTGGGATTGATCCTCACTTCATTATTTAAAAAAAAAGGAAGAAAAGGCAAAGAAAGAAAACAACAACAACAAATTTCTATAATCCAGAATAGAGCTGAAAACCTTTCAGAGCTATTGATTTAAATAAATATAATTGTTAACTACACAATAGAAAATTACTCAGATACATTATATGTAAAAAAAAATTAACACATTTTTAAGGGAAGAAAAGATAGAAGAAATATTCTTGGAAGGAATAAGAATGGGCAAAATAGGTGCCTTATCAACTGCAAACGAAAGGCTAACAGAGAGAAGGGTTTAGATAAAATGAGAAGATGTTCCTTGGAAAAGAAAAAAAATCCTTTTATTCCTTGGTCCAAGAAAGGAATAATGAACAAAAAAAAAAATGAGAAATGAGAAATGAGAAAAGACAGGAACAGGAATGCAATTTTGAGGACAGATGGTAAACACTATTCACATGCAATTTGGCATGGTAAGAAAATTTTATTAAATATCAACCCTGAAACTATATGGACTGAATGAAGAGAGTATACTTTCATGTCATAATAATTTACCTGTTACGTTTTTAACTTTGTTCCATATTTTAACTTCTTCAGTCTAAAACCTTAATTTGTTCAGAAAACAAATCTATTGTTGAAGAGTGATCTCTGAAGACTTTCCCAGTGACAATCAGTTTAATTGCTCTTCTAAACCAAGGGTAAAAGAAAGCATAGATCAAAGGGTTCATGGCTGAGTTATAATAGGCAAACCAAACTAAAATTTCATAAATATATGTTGGGGTGATGAACCCTAGGAATGCATCAATTATTGATTCAATAAAATAAGGGAACCATGAAATCAGAAATGCAATCACTGCAATGCCCAGTGTTTTTGCTGCTTTCCTCTCCCTCTTGGACACTCTGGCTTTGTAGCTCTCTGAGGATGACTCAGTCTTGTTATCCATGCTTTCAATCTTTCTAGCCTGTTGTTTGGCTACTAGAAAAATCTTACAATAAAGAATGACCATGACCAGAGTGGGAATGAAGAACAACAGAAAGTCTATCAGTACCCAGGTTTGATTCACAGCAATCTGACAGCCTCCCACACAGGTGAGGGCACTTACTAATTCCTCCAGCCCATCATCATTCACACCTGTGTAAATTAGAGAAAAACTAAATGTAATGGCAAGGAGCCAGGAGAACGAAATGCATATTATTGAAACCAACAGAGTGAATTTAGTTGGATAGACCAGAGGGTCAGTGACAGCAATGTATCTATCAATGGAGATGAAGCACAAGTGAAAAATGGAAGAATAACAAAATGACATATCAAAAGAAGAGTGAACTTTACAATAACTCTCCCCAAAATACCAGCAACTCTCCACTGACCTCACCATGCTGAAGGGCATCACAGTGGCTCCCACCAAAAAGTCAGCACAAGCCAAGGAGGCAATGAGAAAATTGGCAGGAGAGTACAGCTGCTTGAAGTGAAGGACTGAAATCATAACCAGAAGATTTCCCAAAATGGCCAGCAGAACTCCAGAGCCAAAAGCCAGGTAGAAGATGACTTGGAGTAGTGGGGAGTAGGAGGTTTTAATGCAGGATCCATTGATGTTCTCATAGCAGAGCTGCATTGCTGCAGGCTGGGACCCAATGTTGCTGGTCATGATTCTTCCTTCTCAGCTTATAAGTATCTTTGGGGTTTTTTTGGTAATCATAGAGTAGTAATTGACATTTCCAATATTCCTGGGGGAAAAAAAAGATAAATAGATGCATGTCTGTACAAAGTTAAATTCTATCCTTCATGAATCATGATCCGTTTCACTCAGATAATATTTGTGAATCACTTAACACATTTCCTGGCAGAGTAAACCCTATATAAATGCTTAATCTCTTCCCCCTTCCTATAAACCGTGAAGCCCTCATCCTCTGTTATATTTGGCATATTGCCATTTAACTCGGTCGAATTCCTTCCCCTAATCTAAAAACCTTTGATAAAAAGCTTTGAATAAGTCTACTAAAGATTGGCACCAAGACAGTCAGTGTTTCTCTGCTTGGTAACATTTCCCTCTAATCCTCTAGTTCTGTACCTCTGACAAACTCTTCTGCAAAGTTCAGCGTTATACTAAAGGATTCCTCAGTTCAAGGGTCACCTTTTATTACTTTGTCCTTATTCATGTTGTCAACTCTGCGTTAATGCCCAAAGTACCACAACTTTTCTGGAACTCACCAAAGAAGAGCCAGAAAACCCCTGAGAGATAATCCCTGTTGGGTTGGGTGTGAACCAGGAGAAGAAACTTTTTTTCCCCAATTACTGTTAGTAAGAAATTTATTCTGGTATACTACTCTTTATAGGAACATAAATTATGCATTTTGTTTCATAAGATTTGCACATTCATGTGTATGTCTTTTTGTTGTATGGGGTTTTTTTTGATGGTTGAGATTATGGTGAATGTACTGGCATCTCACATGTGTGTGTATGATGCAGATATATGTGTGTGTGTGTTTGTGTGTGTACACTCATACAGCTATATATATGTGTGCATATAGTTGTACATGTAAAGCTTAAAATTGCACTGCCTTTTAGGACACCCTACCTGCTTGTGTATAAAATCACACACATATGTATAAACACACACACACATATCTATCTATCTATATATACATACACACACACACACATACACACACACACATACATGTGAATGTATTTTAACAATTCCTCCTGATCATTAAACAGTAATCTGTACTTTCTTAGGTATCAGCTCCTCATGTTACGCCATAACTCCTCAATAACTTTTTAGAAGTTTTTCTGTTGCTAGCTAAACCTCACACTACAAATATACAAGCAATTATTGCATCCATACTTAAGGTCTTTTTAGTTTTGATCTGCCTGAATATACTTGGATTCATTGGCAGAATCTTTGAGAACCCTTGGTTATTTCCAAATTACATTGAACCATCAAAGGGAGATTTTATAGGAAACTCTGAATATACATCACAATATATACATACACACACAGATGCATATATAAATATACACATATAATATACATATATCCATACTATTACATACATACACACATGCATATGTATGCACCCAAACATATGTATACGTATCAGCCTTACTCTTTCTTTCAGAGTCATTATTGGTGGCAGGTGGAAACCAAAGGTGGATGAGCAGCCCAGAAAAGGGCTTGTCAAACCCTCACACTAGAGGTACTATTCCTCCTGGAAGACCCCATACACCCCTGGACTGTACCTACGTATCATTTCATTGCTCTGGGGAGCTTAGGGTATGGAAACTACCTCCGCTAGTGACAGCTAACAACTTGACTGTCACTTATAATCCTTGAGAGCTGACAATAGAGAGGGTATGTGACTTGTCCTTGGTCACAAGTATCTTAAATTTTGGAGGTGGGAGAAGATCCCAAGATCCTAAGTCAAGATTCTGACTTCAACGCCAAGCCTCAATTCACTATGTCATGCTACCTCTCTCTGCATTAATTAGAAATAAGTACATAGTTGTTCTCTATGTGTACAGTAACTTTAAAACTATGAAATGCACATTATGAATAGGAAAATAGCCCCTATTGTTTGGGCAGCTGCATGTGTAATGGATATAATGATGTGCCTAGAGTCAGAAAAACTCATTGTCCTGAGTTCAAATCTGGCTTCCTATACTTACTAGCTGTGAGACTCTGGGCAAGTCACTTGACCCTGTTTGTCTCCTAGGCTGGAGCTCAAATGGGCTGGAGAAAGATATGGCAAACCATACCAGCATCTTTACCAAGAACATTCCAAATGGCATCATGAAGAGTCAGATATGACTGAAACGACTGAATAAAAAAGGGACAGATTAAAATGAGCAGTTGCTCAGAGTCAGGAGAGGGGAAATCAAGGTTCATTAAGGCAATGTCCCTGTAGATGCAGCTACAATAGCATACCCCAAACTGACTTGGAAGGGAGTAGTGCCTCTGGACTTACAGTATTTATAGCCCCAGATCATTTTATCCAACTTATCTTGTCAGCCTATTTATATTCGAAATACCAACACTGGAGCGATGGCACTGGAACAGTGTATCCAGGCTGTTGGGGACCCTCTGGAACTATAGTGAAGCCTTCTCAGTTCCCCACAATCATTGCAATATCAATTCACAGATTTAATGTTATATGGTTCCTAAATGATTAAACGTTATGGAAGTTAACACTGCAAGTCAAGCATGAGGGGAAAAAAAAACAGATGAAGGGAAAGGAAATCCCAGTTCAATTTCAGTTCTGAATCACCAGATGGTATTCAGAAATTACCTCAATGTCATCTAACTTTCCTAACTTCTGCCATGTCAGTTAGGAATAAATAGGTACATCACTTATTTATTCATTTGTGTATTTTTTATTTAGCAATTCATTTATTTGTTTTTCCATTCTTTCTTTTCTCTTTATCTACTTTTCTATCTCCCTACCTGTCTTGCAAGAATTTAAAAACAAGGAATAGAGGAGAAAGCAGAATGGAATTTGAAGTTGTAATTCAGTAGGACACACTGGATGCTCAAGGATGGAACCATCTCCCAGGAGGTTCCCCAAAGACAAATAAACCAGAACAAAGATAAGATAGTCAAATGATTGTGAACTAAGTGTTGGAAGTAACTTTACTTGAGAATTGGTCATTGTTTGATTAATAAACTAAGGCCCAGGGCACTTAAGTTCAAGATAGGAAGTAAGAAGGAGATGAAGATTTGAAAGCAGATCATCTATGTATGAAGTCAACATCTTTTCTACTTTGCTACCTTGAAGAATTTAGGAACTGTGCCACCAGTTGCCAAGTACAACGGGATTGTTCCCAAGAAAATGGAAGAATTCATCACTATAACTTGGACTAGTTGTGTCCAATATTATGTCAATGGTATTATGATGAAGGTAAATAACCACAGACATATACATCTGGACTTACATTAGATTGAAATTTGGGGATGAGCAGAAAGGAAAGATTCCTGTGAGCATGATAGGGAGAGGAGGAGAGAGACATTGTTTTTCCTGTAAAATCAATGATTTTTATATGTGATTATTTAGAAACTCAGTTGACATAATCAGAAGTTTATTGTTTGTGTTATTCTTGTATTTCTTATATTCTTATATTTGTAAATTGTATTGCATTTCTAAATTCCCTTGTATTGTAAAATATGAGAAACCCTTGTAAAACAGAAATGCTGTTAGACACTGCAAGTTTTTTTTTACCTGGATCTTTTAAAATATTAATTGGGATTTTAAAAGGATATGATCAAATAAATATTTGAACACTTAAATATTTTATGAAGTATACTTAATTATAAAAAAGGTAATAATAACAATGATAGTAATATGTACTATAACAGCAGATTTTCATTTGCAAATCTTTCCTCTTATGAAAGTATATAAGGTTGTTTAAATATGTAGCTTCAACATATTAATCATGTGTCAGCTATTAGATATTTGCCATATGTCTGAAGCCCCAGAATATGAGTAGTTTTAATTTATAAGTAAAGGATTATTGAAGTGTTAATTGTTAGGGAAACATCAGGAAGATATTTAAGCTCTCAGTTGAGGTTAGTGAAGTTTTGCTATTTAAGGTGAAATTTCCTGGGATTGTAAATTTACTGGGTTTTTTTGAGCTTTGATTGCAAGGATAGTTATCTGAATTGTCATAAAGCCAATAGTAAAAAATGGCATGTGGCAGTCTGAGAATGGCTTAAAGGTGGATATCTGTGCCTAGAAAAGGTTTTGGATATGACCTTGAACATGACCTAGGTAGGATCCCTTTGACTCTATTTCTGCTAAAAAGTAAAATTCCCCATCTGATTAATCCTGAGTCTTGCTTTTAACGGTCTGTAACTGCATAATTGGCTGTTAGATATGACTTATACCTGGAATCAAACAGAGCTAAGAGAGTTTTCTCTCTATTAAGATATATGATGTCCCTCTTTTTTCTTTTATTAGCAAATTTATATAATCAAGAAGTTTTGTAAGTACAGCACTAAATATATTAAATAATAGATTGAGACTGGTACATCTCTCAGTTACTATAGTAGGATACATGTATGAACATCTTACAATTTTAAATTATATTTGTGGTCAAATTATAATATAGGGATGATAATCTCCTAGTGGAGAAATGATTAGACAAAGTTATAAGACAAAGATGCAATGTAAAAGCTTTCTAACTAAATGGAATATCAAATTTTTGGAAAAAAGTAACAGGATTAGACTGTTTTCTCTAAATAATTGTATATAGATGTATATGATTAACTTCCAAAGTTTATCTATCATGAAAATTCAGGCTTTGAGTTTTAGTTCTAAGTTTACTAATATGTTTTGGTAATAAGTTCTCAAAATTGGCTTAAGGATGTGTTAAGGATTAATTGGATTTTACACAAAAACAAATATTTTGATAATGATAGAGAAAGTTAGTTGATTTTCCCATTTTTAAAATGTAACTGTCTGATAATCTTAAAGGACAGAAAAATCACCAAGATGGTAACCATACATATAGTGTGAGGTGTGAACTAAGAAAAACTTTTTCAATCACTATCAGAAAAACTGCAGTTTAATCTATAGGAAGTCTCTTATCCATTTGATTTTCTAATAGATGCACATCTATTCACATGTATTTTGTTTCAAAGATTTAATTATCTGATGGGAAATGGCATTTATGTATGTATATGACCTTCATACACGTATATACATATGTATAGACACATATGCCTATCTACACATATATAATATGTGTATATACATATATGTATGTGTATATATACATATATATATTTACTTATATATAAATATGTAATATCTCTTGGCAAGCCATCCATGATACCAAAGAATATAAAAAAAATTAAAATAAGAAATTCAGGAAAACCAACACATCAGTAGAGTCTGGCAGTCTATACATAGATTTCCCACCTGAACCAACTAAGAAGGGAAATGAAATGCTCAATCACACAAGTTATGAATGATCTTTGGGCCAGGCAGAGAAAGAGGAGCTTCCCACCCCACAGTATAAGTGGGAGAATAGGTCTTGGAAGTCCCACTTCCCTGTTCATCTTCTCAAGCCATTTAAGCCAGCTTTTTTATTGTGTCAATAGTTAATTGTGGTTGATGATGAAGATTGTCTCATAGCAAGAATCCTTATACACTCATTCTACTGAGATCCCAGAATTAGGAAATTCTAGATGAAATAAAGTATAGTTCTTTCAGGCATAGTGTGATATAAAAACATCATAGAGGAGTGTGAAAAACCCCAGAGCTTGGTGAGGCAAGAATAACTCCCCATGAAGAAAGGGTTTTGGTGCAATATGTATTTGTTTTCTTTTCATTTTTTTGGTTCTTTTTTTTTAAAGGCAATTGGGGTTAAGTGACTTGTCCAAGGCCACACAGCTAGTAAGTGTCAAGTGTTTGGTCTGAGGCCGGATTTGAACTCAGGTCCTCCTGACTTCAGGGCTGGTTCTCTATCCCACTGTGCCACCTAGCTGCCCCTTGCAATGTATATTTCTAAATAACTTTATAAATTTAAACAAATAACTTCATTGCTTAGGGCTTCAGTGCCCACATCTTTAAAATTTTAGAATTGAAGTACGTGCTCTGTAATTCCATCCCTCAAAGAGTATGGCTCTATTTTCTGTAGTCTCCAAACAGATGTTTAATCTTCAAAGTAGTAGATGTAAGGCACTTTTTGCATGAAGAAATTGTATTATATGTATTGTTCCAGGAACTCATTAAGGTCCCTCAAGTGCTAAATCCTATAAATGTTTGATCCCACTTCTCTAAGTGAACCTTCTAAGTGCAAAGCTACCAAATTAAAGCCTTTGTTATCCACTGTGAGTAGACAAAAAGGACTGATTTCTGCAAAACTCTCTTCTATTCATTCTAATACAATTCTAACTAAACAGTCAGGTGTGAAATCCAATGTGCTTTGCTTTTGGTGTTGCTGACTTAGCATTGTTAATATACACATATGCAGTTGAAAATTAAAAGGAATCTCCCTTCAGCCATGCTATTTAGTCATTCATAAAATGTTTATTCATGCCAGGTGTCTTTGTACCACAGTCATTTCCAGGTAAGTCCAATCCTCTTCTGCTATGCTTTCACATCTGAACTATCCCTATTAACAAAGAAAAACAGTTAAGTAATAACAACACTAATACATGAACTGCTTTATTTAATACATGCAACATTCCTACTTGAGAAGAGGCAAGTATATTTCATTATCCATTTCAGGACAATTATTGGCTTTTCAATTATTCAGAGTTAAGTTCAATATTAATAATATTTTCACTTATATTATCTTACGTGTTACAAAATTAGTCTTCCGGGTTTATTCATTAGATCATAAGGTCACATTTCCAGAGGTTCCATTTTGCCTCTTAGACAAGAAGCAAACTCCTTTGTTTGGAATTTAAAGCCCTTGGCAACCAGAGTCAAGCATACACTTCTAGGCTTTCTATACATTATTCCTTTGAAGCATACTACAGTCTAGCTTTTGTGCTGTTTTTCACAGAGGACATTCAGCCTCCCATATCTGTCATTACACAGGCTGTCAGAATGCATGGAATGCATTTTCTCCTCACTGCTATCTCTTAGACTCCCCAACTTCCTTCAAAATTTATCTTAAGCACCTCCTCTGACATGAAATATTTCCTAATTCCCAAATGTTAGTGCTTCTTGCCCTCTAAAATTACCCAATATTTACTTTTGTGCTTTGCATATCTTGAGAAGATCATAGATCTATGAGAGACTTCAGAAATCTCTCTTTTTACTTGTGAGGAAACAGATCAAGAGAAGTGATATGAGATTCCCAGAATGAGAAAGGTTGTAAATGTTAGAACTGCCATTTGAACTCATGTATGTAAACTCCCAATTCACTTTTCTTTCCATGACACCACATTGCCTCAATAGCTTGGCAGATGGGCTAAATCAGGTTGAAGGGAACTGAAAGGCCTTAAACCCTCAAACTCATTAGTGAGTTAGGAGGGTGTCTATTCCAAGCATGTGAAGAATTCTACCCTGAGAAATAGGTAGATAAAAAACAATTTTCTGCAATAGCCATGAAGATGGCAGAAGTAGGCAGCATCGAGGGCTTAGAGCTTGGTCAGACATCGAAGATGCCAAGATATCCAGGGCCATCACAAGTTGTCATGACTTTTGTCTTGCAATTAGACTTTGATGGCCCTGAAAGAGAAAGTGAGGCTGATGACTTTATGCAATTCTGCCTCACTTAAATCCAATTAATGGGTGAATTAAGACAACACCCCATTATGTCATTGATCCTTTTTGAAAATGAGGAACCAAAATGGGGAGGGGGAGAAATGTAGTACAGTGGAAGGACAGGGCCTTTGGCATCAAAGGACCTTTTTCTACCACTTACCATTTGAGTGACTCTGGCAAGTTGCCTAATCTCTCTGAAACTCAATTTACTTATTTTAAAAATGAGGGGGAATGGACTAGGTGACCACTAAAGGTCTTTTGGCAGTTTCTAAATATAAGATCCTATAATGCTTACCTTGACAGACTCTAACATCTTTGAGGGCAGAGTCTGTTTCATTATTTTGCTTCATATCCACATAACCTAGCAGTGTCTGTGGAGATTTTTGCCATGCCTGGATCACATTTCCCTTTTATTCATTTCAGTCAAGAGGCCACTGGGGTTCAATGACTTCTGAGGTAAGTTGCCCTTCTGAGAGTCAATATCATATAATATCTAAGTGATTAAACTTTCCACTTTAAGCAGTAAAAGACTAAATCAAGTAAGGAGGGAGGCTTTGTAGTAGATAACTCACTTACCTTGAAAGTAGTTAGAAATAATTTCAATAGTATTTAAAATAGTCTTTCTAGGTGCTACCTTATCATTTAGCATTGTTCAGTCTTTTTTTTTTTCAGTCATGTGACTCTGTGACTCCATTTGGGGTTTCTTGGCAAAGATACTAGAGTGGTTTGCCTTTTCTTTCTCCATCTCATTTTACTATCGAGGAAACTGTGGTAAACATGGTTAAGTGACTTGCCTAGGGTAATACAGATAGTAAGTGTCTGAGGCCAGATCTGAAATTAGGAAGGTGGGTCTTCCTGACTCCAGGTCTGGTACTGCACTCAGTGCTCCATCTAGCTGCCTCCATTTAGTGTTGTATTGCTACATTATCTTTATAAGCATTTTATCTCAGGTAATACAAGAGAAAACGGGTCAGATCTTGAAGTGGAAATTCAGCTGGATTCACTGGACACCAGTAAGAAGAATGCTACTTCCAAAGAGGCCTCAAGAATGTCCAACCTATCTAAACAAGATTTTGTTTTAAGGTATCTTAGAGTTCATCTTGTCCAATTTTTTAATATAAAAAAGAAACAAACAAGAACTGAGATCAATGTAGGTTAAATCTGAAATTATATACGCAGTAAATTTGGACTTCTGGACATATGACATTTAGGGTAGAGGAGAATGGAGTCAATTTCGTGAACATCAGTGTTACAGAAGGAAAGAGACGTTTTTCAGAATATGAAATCCTGTATTACCATGTAATGTTGGAATTTGAGTAACTGGCTATCAGCCAAAGCTATGTGGCCCCAGTATAGTGCTTTTAAAAATCCTGGTTCCCTATATTACTTCTGGCCCAAGAAAGCCAAGATGGGGGAAGGACTGGGAAGCAACACAATGATTTTATAGCCCAGGAAATAGTCACTATGGATTTTTTTTCCATGAAGAAGTATAAACTAAATCCTTTACCTCCAGTAAAGATGCAGGGGACTTCTGAACATCAATGTCATCCAGAAGGGAACCAGCCCGATAGAATTTAGTATAATAGACTTGGATGGGAAGGTTTTAGAAACATCAATTTGGGAGTGAAATTTTTGCAATCTTAGTTTACTCTCTAGACAAAGGAGCCATTAGACAGCTAAGTGGAAAAGTATAAAGAATTTTGGGTATGGAGACTTGAGTTCAAATACTCCCTTAGACACCTGTCAGCTGTATGACTCTGAACAAGTCACTTTATGTCTCTAACCCTCAGTTTCCTCATCTGGTTTGGTGACCTGTGAGGTCCTTTCCAGCACTAAATCTATGATCCTCCATATTCCATTTTAATGTCTTTGTTTTACTTCTTTTCCCTTAGACCTACATTAAGGAGCGAACAATCTGTGTAGATATATTGGGTTTTCTTTCTAACAAAAATGTCAATAGTCTCAGCTTACTCAGTAGAAGCTGAGACTATAGGAAATGACACTCCTCAGAGATGGGCCCTTTGCCCACTCTAATAGCACTGAACTAGATTATCTCTTTCAAGGGAAAAAAAGAGAAGTGTTGTGAAAAATCTAAGGTGTGAAATCCTTCTACACCCAATATATATTCCAACTGGGGTATACAATCAGCCCACACTCATTTTAGATAACCAAGAAAGTGCAATGAAGAGTGAAGGCATGCTCTGACCACCTACTAAACTAACCCCAAATGTTGACCACCAAAGGGTGAGAAATCTTCCAATTTCCCCCCAACCATAGGCAAGACCCTCTATAAAGAATGTGTGCCTTAGTGCAGGCCCAGGCCTACAAGCTGTAGGCTCTGGTTCCCACCAGGGGGATCCAAGTCTGACCTGAGGCAAAATATTATGTTGTAAGGAAGACACAGTTTGTTTGACATTTTAATATCCAATTCACAGATCACAACACAAACAGAATCATGTTTTCTAACAGGTCTGCTGTCCATCGAAATATACAAAAAAGTTATTAAAACATTTCAACATTTTTTATATACGTCATTAATTTAGTTCCTAAGGATTTGAAACAAATACATCCACAATCTCTTTCAAAATTTCCTGCACTGGAGAGGATTCTGGGAAGATGGCAAATTAGGTCATAAAATTTCAAACTCTTGAGATTTTCTACCAGAAAAGAGATAAAACAGCACCTCCAGGCAAACATAAAGCAATGAAAACAAATAAGAGTAGGGGCAGAAGAGGGGTCTTCCTGGGACAATTGGAGAAAATCTGAAGAAAAATCCTGGACAAGATTTGCTCCCTATGAAGAGTAAACCCCTCCAGACTAGGGACCCCTTCAACAACAAGGGGCAAGCAGCTCATACAACAAGTGGCCAGCCCTGGGGTTAGCTGGTTTGGGAGTCTGCCTCTGCCCAACCACAGGAGCCCTGGGACAGTGAAGACAGTTGGGCATCTGACCTGGAGAAGATCGAGACCAGGAATGCCAGACTGAGTTGTGCTGTGGAGAGCTGCCCAGTGAGTGCAGAAGCAGCGGGCTGGGGATATCTGTTCTGTGGGCAGATCTTGGTTTGAGTTCAAAGTCAGAAGGGTGAACTGAAGGGGATTAGAGGCACCATCCCCCATACCCCAGGACTGGAAGTGATTATAAAAATTAAATCATAAAAAAAAATGCACAGGCAAAGGAGAAAATATCCAACCATAGAGAGCTATTATGGGAATAGAGAGGATTGGGGTTTGTCTTCAGAGGAGGTTACTGAAGCAAAGAAACCCTCTTCTACCTCAAAGAGAACTCACTGAAGAACTTAAAAAAAGACTTTAAAAATCAAATGAGAGAGACTGAGGAACAACTAAAAAGAAAAATAAGAATAATACAAGAAAAACAAGAAGATGATGAAAAAGAAAGCTAACCGATTAGAAAAGGAGATCCAGAATCTTAAGCAAATAACTCCTTAAAAATCAGAATTGGGCAAGGGGAAGCCATTGAAGTTATAAGAGATGAAGAAATTTATATATATATATCTATATATATATCTATATATATATAGATATATATCTATATCTATATATATATATATATATAGAGAGAGAGAGAGAGAGAGAACAAAAAAATAGAAAAGAATATGAAACATGTCATAAGAAAAACAATGGATCTAGTGAACAGACCAAGAAGAGAAAAACATAAGAATATTGGGCTACCTCAAACTTCTGATAGAAAAAGAATCTTGATACAATAATGCAAGAAATAATTAAAGAAAATTGTCCTGAAGCATTAGAACAAGAAAGGAAAATAGAAATAGAAAAAATCCACTGATCACTCCCTGAAAGAGATCCTATGAGGAAAACTCACAGAAATATTATAGTCAAATTTTGAAACCCCCAGATCAGGGACAACATATTATAAGCAACAAGAAAAAAACAATTTATATACAGCAGAATCACACAAGACCTAGCAGTGGCAACACTAGAAAATTGCAGGTTTTGGAACACTGTATATCTAAGAGCAAAGGAACTGGGTTTCTGTTGGAAAATATACCCAGCAAAGCTAAGCACAATTTGAAATGAAAAAAAAATAGATATTTAATCAATTGTCAGATTTTCAGGTCTTTGTTAAAAACAAACACACAAACTTTGAACTCAACAGAAGATTTAACATGCAAAAGCCAAGAGAAATATAAGGTACATACCAATGACCAATTACAAGGGACTAAAGTATAGAATGTTTAAGTTTTATGTATGCAAAATGCAAAACCTATGTCTAAGATTCTTACTAGTAATTAGATAACTTATAAGGAAGATTGGGGTAGACCTGAGTATGATATGGCTGAAAAAACCATTCAAGTACAGCTAAAAGAGTAATTATCTTTTACAAATAAGATGTAAGAGGAAGAACTAATACAGAGGAATTAGATGCAGCAATTAGAGCTGTTAGTTCTGGAAAGCTGCTGTCATTGGAAACTGGTTTAAGAGGCGAAAATACATATACATTTAGAAGAGTATAAAAGTCTTCTAAATTTAGAAAGAAATAAAACACTAAGGTGATTGGGGGAAAGGATAAAGGAGGGATCTTTAGAGGAGAAGGTATAGGAATAAGTTAAAAGAGGGATATAGAAGAGGGTTTAGATTTAGGGGAATGGGAGGACAAAGGGAGGGATTGCTGGAGTGGGGGTAGGTTAAGTAATAGGAGGGTAAGGTAGCAAGTAGAAATAAAGTAGAGGAGTTAGGAGAGATAGGAAAAATAAAGAGACATGCACAAACATAAAAACAAAGATTAGGAGTAGAATCTCTCAGATAAAGTATAGTGTATATATGTATACGTATGTATATATCAATACTTATATATAAATATATCCAATGCTGAACTGTAGCCTTGGGGTGATGGGTATTGGGGAAGGAGGGAGAAAAAAAGAACAAATTAAAAAGTGTACAGCAGAAAACAAAAGAAAATCTACAAGGAAATAAATAAAAGATGGACAGCTTTCAACATAATGAACAGTACTTAATATATAGGCTTTTTTGAAATAAAAAGTTATCGCTATATAATTTGAATCCTCTCCTGTGTTCTGCTGTGCACGTGGCTTTTTTTTTGTTTTCTTTCTTTATATATTTACATATATATATATTTCTTTTTCTTTTCCTATTTTGTATTTAAGTTTTAGCATTTGTCTAAAAGAAAAAAAGAAAAAATTTCCTATGCTTTTTACTTTAAGAGAAAATAAAATACATTCCAGAATTGATGATTATACAGCAAGTAGTAAAAAAAAAAAGTATAACATAAATAGTTACAACATATTTGATAGCATGTGTTTGGCAATAGCAATATATATGTACACACATGTATATACACATGTGCATATATGCACATACGTGTGTGCCTGTACACACACATGTGCATCTACATACATATATAATTGTAATTGTGACCTAAAATTGGGGCAGCTAGGTAGCAATGTGGTTAGAGTGCTGGGTCTCATCTTCATGAGTTCAAATCTGGCCTCAGGCACTTAACTGGCTGGGGGATCCTGGGCAAGTCACTTAACCCTGCTTGCCTCAGTTTTTTCATCTGTAAAATGAGCTGGAGAAGGAAATATCATCCGCCAAAAAAACCCCAAATGGGTCAAGAAGAGTTGGACACAACTGGACAACCTAAAATCAATGCTGTCCCATACTAACTTTAGGATGTTTTTAGATGATTAAAGTAGCATCTTATAATAATGAAATGAGCAAATAGTTACAAAAGCAAATTAGATTCTGCTGTAACTGCTGGTTTGGTAATGTTATTTTATTGTAATATAATTGCTAATGAAGCAGCTATTTGGTGTAATGGATACAGTTATGGACCTTATGTTAGGAAGACCTGAATTCAAATCCAGCCTCAGACATTTGTAATCCTGGGCAAGTCACTTCACTTCTGCTTGCCTCAGTTTCCTCAACTATAAATTGGGGATAATAATAGCATCTACTCCCCAGGGTTAATGTAAAAAGCAAACGAGAAAACGTTTATGAAGCACTTATCACAGTGCCCAGTATTTATACTATATAAATGCTTGTGATTAGTA